GAAGAAGAAGAAGAAGAAGAAGAAGAAGAAGAAGAAGAAGAAGAAGAAGAAGAAGAAGAAGAAGAAGAAGAAACCAAAATGGATGTCAGAAGAGACTCTGAATATTGCACTAGAGCGCCAAGAAGCCAAAGCAAAGGGAAGAAATCAAGACCTTAAAGAGCTGAATAGAAGATTTCAAAGGGCAGCTCAGGAAGACAAGGCAAAGTATTATAATGAAATGTGCAAGGATCTGGCGTCAGAAAATCAAAGAGGCTGAGCTCACTCAGCATTTCTTAAGCTGAAGGAACTGAAGAATAAATTTAAGTCATAAGTTTCAATGCCTAAGTATGTGATGGGCAGGATATTGAATGATTCAGGAAGCATTAAAAGAAGATGGAAGGAGTATACAGAGTCATTATACCAAAAAGAATTGGCTGACATTGAAGAATTTCAAGAAAAAGTTTATGATCAAGAGGCAATGGGGATGAAGGAGAAAGTTCAGGCTGCTCTGAAGGACTTGGCCAAAAATATAGTCCCAAGAATTGATGGAATACTAAGTAATGTATTTCAACAAGCAGATGATGCCCTGGATGTGCTCACCAAGTTGTGCCAAGAAATCTGGAGGACAACTGCTTTGCCGACTGACTGGAAGAAATCCATATTTATTTCCAATCCAAAAAAAAAGGTGACCTGACAATAATTGAACAATATCACTAATATCACACAGTAGCAAAATCCTGCTGAAGATTATCCAAAAATGACTGAAAGAGTACATTGACAGAGACTAACAGAAATACAAGCTGGGTTTAGAAGACGATGTGGCACTAGCGACATTATTGACAATGTCAGATAGATCTTGGCAGAAAGCAGAGAGTACAAGAGGACTGTCTATCTGTGTTTCATTGATTATTCAATGACAGTTGACTATGTGGATCACAATAAATTGTGGCTAACCTTGAGGAAAATGGGAATCCCAGAACACTTGATTGTACCAGAAATCAGTCTTCAGAAAAGAGGAAGGAAACACTGCATAGTTCAAAATCATGAAACGAGTGCATCAGGAATGCATCCTGTCTTCATACCTTTTCAATCTGTGTGCAGAACAGACTATTTGGGGAGCAGGGTTTTATGAGGAGGAATGTAGCATCAGGATTGGAGAAAGACTCATCAACAGCCTATGTTATGCAGGTGACACAACCTTGCTTGCTGAAACTGAAAAAGACTTGAAGCACTTGCTGCAGAAAGTCGAGGATTGTAGTCTTCAATGTGGATTGAAGTTCAACATCAAGAAGACAAAGATTCTTACTACTGGGCCAATTGTCAGCACCTTGATAGATGGAAAAAAGATTGAGGTTGTTAACAAATATACTTTTCTTGGCTCCACAATCAACACTCTTGGCACCATCAGTCAGGAAACCAAAAGACAAATTTCACTGGGAAAATCTGCTGTCAGGGACCTCTCTAGAGTGCTGAAAAGGAACTATATCACTCTAGAGACTAAGGTGCGCCTGATCCAGGCCATGGTCTTTGCAATTACTTGCTATGCATCAGAGATCTAGAAAATGACTAAGGATGATAGAAGAAGAACTGATGCCTTTGAGTTATGATGTTGGAGAATAGTCTTGAACAAACCATAGACTGCCAAGAAAACAAATAGGTCTGTATTGGAGAGGGTGAAACCAACTTTCTCCTTGGAGGCTAGGATTTTGAAGTTCTGTTTCCCATACTTTGGTCATGCGGCCAGCAGAGATCATTTCTTGGAGAAGGACATCATCATGCTTGGCAGGATGGAGGGACAGCACAGAAGAGGAAGGCCCCGGATTGATACAGTGACTGGGGAAATGAGAATTAATGTGTCAGAATTAGTGAGACTGGCTCAGAACAGGGCATACTTCAGAGCTGCTGTACATAGTGTCACTAGGGGTTGCAGGCAAAAAAAAATAAATAAACATATATGTATATACATACATATATATACATATATACATACATATATAATAATATAATATATAATATAATATAATATAATATAATATAATATAATATAATAATAGATGTTGTTGTACCATAGAATCGGAATCAACCCATAGCTGACCCTGTGGTGGGTTTACAGAAGCAGTTAGTCGCAGAAGAGTAGATTGCTATCCTTCTCTTGTGAAGCAGCTGGTGGATTTGAACCATGTGCCTTCTCTATATATCTTTCTCTCATTTGTTCTTGCCTGCTTCTATACAGTACCTGGTCATTTTAAGTCAAAAGTAATGAGGTTTAAGACACACCTTACAATGATCTGATAAAACTTCATTTCCGTAACTAAGAAATTTTTTTCCAAATGGAATGATACCCACAGTGATGAAATTAAATTGACACAATTATCGTAACATTGAACTCTAGTATATCTATGAGTCATAGGTGACTTGATGGTACCTAAGAACAACAACAATATTCTGACACTTTTAAGGTGAGAAGCACTCAATTTAATTAAAAAAAAATCTATCTAAATTTCTAGAATAGAAGTATTAGGATTCCCCAACACTTCAAAATAGTAAGAATGAAATAAAATCTACATATACAGTCTGTAAAATATTACATGTCTCATTTATTTGACAAGTTTATTGTGTGTCACTCTGTAACAAGGCCTTATGCTAAACATTATGGAAGAACCAAAGACCTAATCTTTGTTCGTAGAGTTAACAATCACATGTAAGTTGGTAGCATATTTGAGACTAAAAATCTCTCCTGTGTATCACCAATTCTTAACAGACTTGATAACAGATTTATTGTTACTATGAAGAACTAAACTAGAGATGTTACATTAGTGTAAATTATCACAGATAGTATATTATGTATCATCAGTGTAGAAAAATGGAACAAACATACATGTTAATTTTCTTTTTTTTCTCCCCCTAGACCTTTTTGGATGTTGCTGACAGTTCAGGGATGGTTTCAGTGGTTATGTGGAATGCCCTATGCCCTGAATGGTATAAATGTTTGCGAGTTGGTTTAGTTCTTCTGCTTCAAGAGTACACTGTTAAAAAGAATTATTCACTTAGAATGCCACCTCCTCCTGTGGACCCACAGATGAAACTAATTTCTGCAATAGGTGAAGTATTCAGTGAAGATTTGTTTTAATGCTATTTTTGTTTGCATGAGTTTTCAAAGAATTCTGTAAGGTAAAGACAAACCCACTACTGGTCAAGGTATTACTGGGACATTCAAACAGCTGATCTTTTTTGCAGCCAGTACTTTATTCACTATGACACCAGACTTCCATATAAGGTAAAAGCTGTTGAAATCACTGAACCTGTTAAAAATTCATAAACCTTTACATCCTGTTGTCCATAAAATATACATTTTTAGACACTCATGTAACTTAATATGTACTTTTAAATTATTGCATAAGTGGAGAAGATTAAGGAAAAGAATCTGAGATATTGTGATTAATAAATGAGCATTCCTTGGGTTTTAAATTTTATTTTTTAAAATTTTTTAAACTTTATTGGGATTTGAGTAAAAGTTTACAAAGCATTTTGGGTTTTTATCTTAATCAGTTATTCATACATATTTTGTTCAATAATATTAATTACAATAGAGGCAATGATGAGCTTTAAGTGTACTTATTTTTACTTTCTTTTTTATTTATCACATAGTATAAAATTAATGGTGAATCTATCCTGTTAGTACCAGGTGCTATCTTTAAAAGATTTATTAACTTTCATTTTGAGATAATTTCAAGTTAATGTTAAAGTTGAATAGTACAAAGACTTCTCATATATCCTTCACCTAGATTCAGCAAATGTTACATTTACCTTTGCTTTTTTCATTCTCTGTGTGCTTCTTTCTTTCTGACGTGTGCACACAGACACAAATGTACATATTTTTACTCTGAATGCCCAAATATTTCAATAATGCTTCAGTGTGTAGTTCTTTATAACAAGAACATTTCATTATATAACCACAGTACCCATATCAATATCAGGCAGTTTTAATTGATAAAATACAAATATCTAACCTATAGTTATATTTGAATCTTGCCAATTTCTGTAGTTTTGAAAGAGGTTTTCTTCATGTTGAAATTAAAGTTTTGACACTTCTACATCTCAACTATTTGGGGAACATTAGAATTAATATATGAAGTGATATATTTAAGGTATGAATGTGATTTTTTTGCAGTTTTAATTTTTCAGAATTGTAGATTGTATCAAAAAAAGTTTCTTTTGTTTTGGCTGATAATGGTTTATTACTGAATTTCTGTTTCTACATATTCTAAGTTCCCTTACTAATTCATTAAGCTTAATTACTTAGAGAATGTTTATATAATAAACATCGCAATTGTTTATATGAAATATATGCTTCATATATTGTTTTCTGAAATATTATTATTAATTATTAAATATATTATTGAAGAAAGGCTTAATGGCCCTTTTTAAAATCCTGAGCATTTTTGCAGACATTGATCCTATTGTGCTAGATAGAAAAGCTATTACCTTTATAGCTGTGTACAATTAGTCCATTATCTGACTACGACTTACACTTTAATTTGCACTGCCAATCCCAAAGAATGCAGTTCAAGTACAACAGCTACTCTGCAAGAGAAAGTTGGGCAAATCCTCTTGTATGGTTTACAGCCTATAAAAACCTACTGGAGGGTCAGCTATGAGTAGGTTCCAACTTGACAGTACATAACAACAACAAGTAACTTACAGTAGAAAGGGAGAGATTAAACTAAAAGAGATTGATTACTTTAGAAAATACAGTCAGAGTTGTCAAGAGGAAGATAGTTCACAACCTGTGTTATTTTGTCTATTGAATTATAAATTATTTTCTACAATGAAGAATGTCCAGGTGATAAAATTGCTATTTATGAAGCTGTAGTATATGAAAATATGTTATTCATACAAGTATAGACAAATTGATCAATGAGTCACAGTACGGAGCTGAGAACGTTTCCTACACATAGAATTTTTAATATATGACAGATGTACTATATGTGGTTTGGAAGCAGGAGTGGCATCCACTTCCTAAATAACATGCCTCTGTAAACTCTATGAACTTTGATAAATGACAATAGTTATAGAAAAGCTTCAGGCCTTTTTATCATTGGTTTCATTATGAGAAGTGCTTGACCCGATGGCAATCAAGAACAACACACTATATAGATCATAAGGAATTATTCAGTAATAATTTTGGGGACACTTGATTTATGTGTGTGTGTGTGTGTGTGTGTGTGTGTGTGTGTGTGTGTAGTCGTCAGAACAGAGCAAGGAGACGCTACATGGTTCAAAATCAAGAAGGGGGTCCGTCAGGGATGTATTCTGTCTCCATACCTTTTCAATTTGTATACAGAACAGATCATCCGAGACACTGGGCTGTATGAAAAGGAATGTGACATCAGGATTGGTGGAAGATTCATCAACAACCTGCATTATGCAGATGACACAACCCTGCTTGCTGAAAATGAGGAGGACCTGAAGCACTTGCTGCAGAAGGTCAAGGACTGCAGCCTCCTATACGGATTGAGGCTCAACATCAAGAAAACAAAGATACCAATTGGCAGCATCAGTATGAATGGTGAAGAGATTGAGATGGTTAACAGTTTTCGTTTGCTTGGCTCCACAATCAACACTCTTGGTAACAGCAGCCAGGAAATCAAGAGATGAATTGCATTGGGAAAGTCAGCTGTGAGGGACCTCTCAAGAGTACTGAAGAGCAACAATGTCAGGCTGGAGACTAAGGTGCGCCTGATCCAGGCATACGTGCTATGCATCAGATAGTTCAACAGTGAATAGGGTTGATAGAAAGAGAATTGATGCCTTTGAGCTTTGGTGCTGGAGAAGAGTGTTGAATATACCATGGACTGCTAGGAGAACAAACAGGTTTGTCCTGGAGAAGGTGAAAACGGACTGCTCCTTGGAGTCAAGGATTCTGAAGCTTCGTCTGGCATACTTTGGGCATGTTGCAAGGAGGGACTGGTCCTTGGAGAGGGACATCATGTTTGGGAGAGTGGAGGGACAGAGAAGGAGAGGAAGACCTTCGATGAGATGGATCGATTCTGTGACTGGAGCGGTGGGAATAAGTGCGTTTGAGATGGCTAGGTTGGCACAGGATAGAACGACGTTTAGAGTTCTTATACATAGTGTCGCTATGAGTCGCAAACAACTCGATGGCACATAACAACAACAACTATACACACACACACACACACACACACACAGTGTCATTATACCCTTAATCTCAGATCATATATAATAAATTTAAAATATAACAAATACTTAAACGTAGAAGGCAAAATTTTAAGAACTTACAGACTATATAGTTTTGACCTTGTTGTGTTGTTGTTGTTGTCATGTGCCGTCAAGTCGCTTGTGACTCATAGCGACCCCATGTACAACAGTCCTAAACCCTGCTCTGTCCTGTGCCTATCTCACTGTCTCCAACACACCTACCCCGATTACCCCAGTCACTGACTCAATCCACCTCATAGAGGGTCTTCCCCTCATGCACTGTTCCTCCACCCTCCCAAGCATGATTTCCCTCTCCAAGGACTGGTCCCTCCTTGCAACATGTCCAAAGTATGTCAGACGAAGTCTCAGAATCCTTTCCTCCAAGGAGCCGCCCAGTTTAACCCTCTACGGGATGAACCTGTGTGTTTTCTTAGCAGTCCATGGTACCACACCACTCAGCACCACAGCTCAAATGTATCAATTCTCCCTCTATCCTCCCTAGTCATTGCCCAACTCTCTGATGCATAACAACTGATTACAAAGACCATGGCCTGTATCACACACACCTTAAATTCCAGAGTGACACCATCACTCTTCAGCACTTTTGAGAGGTCCTTAGGAGCAGACTTTCCAATCGCAATACGTCTTTCAGGCGCACCTTAGACTCCAGAGTGACGCCGTTGCTCTCCAGCACTTTGGAGAGGTCCCTAACAGCAGACTTTCCCATTGCAATATGTCTTTTAATTTCCTGGCTTTTGGTGCCAAGAGGGTTGACTGTGGAGCCAAGCACACTAACGTTATTAACAATCCAAATCTCTTCACCATCCGTCCGGTGGTGAGAATCTTTGTCTTCTTGACATTGAGCCTCAATCTATATTGAAGGCTACACTCCTTGACCCTCTGCAGCAAGCGCTTCAGGTCCTCCTCAGTTTCAGCAAGCAGGGTTGTGTCATCTGCATAACCCAAATAAGGTAAAAACTGCTGTGTACGGTACAAGATATAATGGCCATTTAAAAAATGTTTAAAATATAATTACATTAAAATTAAGATTTTTTCCATTAAAAGACACTATAAAGAGAATGAAAAAATAGCCAAAAGGTAAGTGAAGATGTTTGCAACTATAGGCATGTGTGGCTTGACATTCACTATATGCTCTGTGAACTAGGACATTATGGTATATCTTAGACTGCTGCAGGTCTAATCCACTAGATTCTTTGAGAGAGAAACTTGGACAGTCTCTTCTCATCCTTGGACATCATCCAATGTGAGGGGTGAATGGGGATGGAGGGTCTCCATATCAGAATCAACTCAATGGCAGTGAGTGATTTAGACATTGTGAGAATACCATATTAACAGGATATGCATAATTGATTGTTTAGACAGGAGAAGACAGCTAAAGAAAGCTTCATACACAGAAACAATTGTGGAGTGTTGACAAAAATGGGAGGGGAAGAAGAGGGGAGCAGAGATTAGCAGATGGATAGGTAGGGTGAAGGAAAATGGAAGGTGTGTGATAACTGAGTAAGATGTAATAAATGGGATTGATCAATTGTAATTAATGTTATAAAACAAAATTTATATAACGATTTAATGAAATAAACTGTAAAAAAACAAAAACGTTATGGGAGCCCACTTCCAATTGTTCTCATTGCTGCTGCTGCCCCCTGTTAGAAATGCTGTAATTGAAGACAGAGGCCAAAGAAGTAAGATAGTGGTAAGAGCAGAGGTTGCCCAGCTTTGGTTTTTTGGGTTTTTTTCCCCTCCTGGGCAGGCTGCTGCCCTTCAGACAAAAGCCTGAGAATTTACACCCAGAGCCATGCCCTTTGCCTCACGTCTCCATGGTCCAGTGCTGCAAGAGTCCAACCTTGGAGTCTTTAAATCCCTTCTTGTTATGTACTGTTGAGTCAGAACTGACTCATAGCTGAATCTGCGGCAGGTTTTCAGAGGCAGTAAACTGCACAGGAGGAGATTGCCTATCTTTCTCCTATGGAGCAACTGGTGGATTTGAACCATGTGCCTTTAGGTTGGCAGCACATCTCTTTACCACTCGGCCATGAGAGCTGCCTCTTAAACATTTGGGTGATATAATAAATGAAAGAATGACCTCTCCTTTTTGTTTGTTATTTCTAAGTATTTTGATATTGTTGTTGTTTCTACCCCCCCTTTTTTTAGTGAAAGTTTACAAATCATACTGGGCTTCCATTCAATCATTGATAAGCTTTTTAATAACATTATAATTGATTACTATAATTCATTCATTGCAATATCTGATCAACCCTATATTGTATATATTGCATTTCCCTTTACCCGATATTTCTGTTAATTTTTACTCCTATTTACCTCCCCTACATCTCCTTCCCATTCCTGGTAAGCATCCAAGAATGATTCTATGGCTAAACCTTTCCTTCGCTTTTTACTACTAATCTTAACCATAATAGCCTTTTTGTGACAGACTTAATTCATTTAGTATCATGTCCTCTAGATGCATGCATGTTATTCAGTGTTTTATGAACCCGTCATTGTTTCTTACTATATATACTTCGTTGTATGAATGCACCATGGTTTCTTTATCCATTCATTTATTGATGGACACTTGCCTCTAAGGGTTTTTTTAAATTATAAATTCAAAGTACAGCTAACTTTTGGTGGGAAGAAAAGTGAATGTGATAATGGAGATAAAAAAATTCTAGTTCTTGGGATAAATGATGGGTTTACAAGTGTTTACTGTATCATTTTGATGTGTAATTTATATATATAAATCCTTTTGCATCATTAAATATCATATTAATGTATTTGTTGTTTGGGGGTGTTTTTTTTTTTGCAGAAATCTGCCTGAATTTTCAAGATCCTCAAACTAATATAAATATTATTCCGGAAAAGCAAGTGAAATCAGAATGGCGATTACCAAAATTAAATCACCAATTTGTTACAAGGTAAAATATTTCATTGTAAAATGTTTTAAATGTTAATTCTTAGCATTAGTCACTGAAATATATAGCTGTTTTTTTCAAAGTCTATCCAAATTTATGCTGCAGTAATTATATCTATTTTTTCATAATAATTTTACTGTTCAAAGATATAAATATAATATTTATTTGACAATTTTGCTTTCTGTAGATCAGAATTGAATGATTTGCCAGAAAATCATATCTGTGATGTTATTGGGATTTTAGTTTTCGTAGGAAGGGTCCAGCGGTTAAAAAATAAAGGTAATCATTTAAACTTGAAATTCATAAAATGATTTTAGTATACAGTTCATTTGTATATATTCATTTACCTTCATTCATTTTAATAATTTATCCATATAGAAAACCGTGAAAACTTTTGGACATATCGCTGGATTCACATTGCTGATGGGACTTCAGAACAACCATTTATTGTGGAATTATTTTCTACATCTCAGCCAGAAGTCTTTGAAAATATTTACCCAAGTACTCATTTCTTATATTTTTAAAATTTAACTTTGGAAATGGTGGGCATTCACTTTATGAGCAAATGGTAAACTGAGCTACAGAAATAATGTAATATTGACTTTGCAAATTCAGTTATCCTGGCACGTTATTTAAATTTTCTCTGTATATTAGTATGATAATATGTAATATGGCATTACATGGGATCCCTGGTATCAAAGCAGTTAAAGTACTTGACTACTAACTAAAAAGTTAGTGATTCAAACTCAACAGTTACTTTTCAGGAGGATAATGTGGTAGTCTACTTTTCATAAAGATTTATGGTCTTAGAAATCCTATGAAGTGTTCTACTTTATCATGTAGTGTTGTTATGTATCAGAATCTACTCAATAGCAGTGCATTTGGTTTGGTTTGGTAGGTGATTTTACATATATTTTGGCGCTCTAATGGTTTAATGCATGTGTGTTGTTCTGCTAAGCAAAAGATTTTAATTCATCCATTGCTGTGAAAGAAAATGATAGTCTCCACCTGTTCAAATTTGTTGCTGTTGCTTTTGAGTCAACTATGACTTAAAGATGATTTAAACAACCTTGCCCTATCCTGTGTCATCCTCTCAATCTCTGCCATATTCAAGCCCAACTTTTCAATCCACCTCCTTAGGGGTCATCCACTCTTTTACTGAGTAGGAACACAATTATGTATTCTGGAATTATCATTCTTATGACCCTCACAGTTGTATGTCCATAAAACATAATACATAAAATACAAGTTAATATCTTTTTATATTATCTGCTTTCAACTAAGATCCATCTGACATAAGCAACGATATCATCATATTCTTCATTCCACAGTCTCTTCTAAGTCTAGCTTGAATTTCTGGAAGTTCCTTGTTGATGTACTGTTTCAGCTATTTTTTTAAAAATAATCTTCTTCAAGATTTTACTTGCATGTGATATTAATGATATTTTCTAGAAACATACACATTCTGTTTGATCACTTTTTTGGAGATTAGGAACAAATATGGATCTCTTCCCCTCAGTTGGCCAGGCAACTGTCTTCATATTTCTTGGCAGAGATTGATGAGTAAGTCGCATCTGCAGAGTTGCATCTGTTTCCTGGCACACCTCGATTGGTATTTATCTGTTCCTGGGACCTTCTTTTTTACTAGTGCTTTCATTGCAGGTTGGACGTCTTCCTTCAGTAATACTGGTTCTTGATCATATACTACGTCTTGAAATGGTTCTGTGTCAACCAGTTCTTTTTGATAACAGTAATTCTATGTATTCCAGCAATCTTCTTTTGTGCTTCCTACATCATTCAAGATCTTGACCATAGAATCCTTCAGAGTTGCAACTTGAACCTTGAATTTATTCTTCAGTTCTTTCTGCTTGAAAAATGCTAAGTGTGTTCTTCTCCTTGGTTTTCTAACTCCAACTCTTTGCACATTTCATTGTAATACTTTGCTTTGTCTTCTTGTACTGACCTTTCAAGTCTTCTGTTCAACTCTCTTAACTCAGTAATCCTTCCTCTTGGAATGCCATTGACTTCTTGAAGAGAAATCGATGCCTTTGATTTATGGTGCTGGCAAAGAGTATTGAAATGCCATGGACTGCCAAAAACAAACAAATCTGTCTTGAGAGTGCTCCTTAGAGGCAAAGATGGTGAAACTTTATCTCACTTACTTTAGACATATTTTCAATGAGAAATTAATTTTGGAGAGAGATAGCATACTGGGAAAGTTAGAGGTACAGGGTCAAAGAAAGAAAAGAGGGCCTGCAACAAGATGGATTGACACAGTGCCTACCACAATAGACTTGAGCATGACCATGACAGAGATAATGAGGATGACGCAGAATAGGGAAAGGTTCAGATCTGTTGTTCATAGGATCACTATAAGTCATATTATTGATTGTTGTTTGGTCGAGCACGACTCATGAACAAAAACCTGACACCTTTCTATAATTATCATTGTTTCTCCAAGTTCATAGGGTTTCCAGAGGCATGTGGTTTAGGAAGTGTATGTCACTCCTGCTTCCAAACCTGTTTTAAACTGGGAACTCCACCAAACACTGCCCACCATGGGCAACCATTATGGCATTTGAGACCCCAGTGGCACAAGGTTCAGCATCACAGCAACCCAGATTACCTCAGCACAAGTCATAATCATAGTCTTGTTGGTGCCTAACAACAACTATGTTTCCCAGCATGATGGTTGATTTTTATCCCCCCAGGACTAGTCTCTCCTGATAACATACTCCAGGTATGTGAGACAAAGTTTCACTACTCTTTCTTCTAAGGACCACCCTGGTTGCACTTCTTCTAAGAAAGATTTTGTTTGCTCTTTTGGCAATCCTTTAGATAATCAATATTCTTTACCAACACAACTAATTCAAAGGCATAGGTTCTTCTTCTGTCATTCCTTATTCATTATCTGATTTTCAGATGCATAGGAAGCAATTGAAAAGACCATGACTTGGATCAGATACACCTTTGTCTTTAAACTGACATCATTACTATTTAGCACTTTGGAGGGGTCCTTGACAGCAAATATTTCCCAGTGCAATACATCTTTTGATGTCTTGACTCTAGTGTCCATAAGTGTTAATTATGGAGTCAAGTAAAATGAAGTAGTGTACAACTTTAGTCTTTACTCCATCTATCATAACATTGCCTGTTGGTCCAGTGGTGAGAATGTTTGTTTTCTTGATGTTGAAATGTAATCCGTATGGAAGACTATAGTCTTTGATCTTCTTCAGTAAGTTCTTCAAGTCTTCTTAACTTTCTGCAAGCAAGGTTGTGTTACCTATAGAATGTAGATTGTTGTTAAGATACAGAGCCTCAAAAATCCAATGAAGAGTAGTTATGGATGATTTGGAACTGACTCGACAGCATTGAATTTGTGTTTTTTAAATTATATGTACTATTTACTCTGAAGATCATACTTGCTGGCTATTCAGAATTAATTTTGAGTTGAAACCAATTTTCCGGAAAATAGTTGCTTTTATCAATTGATATTGTTAGCATTTCATACATAAAAGCTTAAGATTCCATAAAACTATAAAATATAGACCATCAAGTCCCTTTCTGTCTATTTGTAAATGGATTAAGTAGACCCCATTAGAGACATTTGAAAGGTTTACTAATGTGGAGTTAATTAGCAGAGGATTATATGTTCTGTGTAATTAAATAATGACATTGGTAAGTATGATTCTATTTGAGTACTAAATTAATATAATAGATTGATGATGTTACACTAACTGTTCAATGCTTTCCTTACTTTTGCATTAACTTTTTGCCCTTACATTCTTTAAAATACAAAGACATTTCCTTTTTTCTATTTTGTTTGAAACCATTTTACATATACCCTTGTCATATATTTCATATATCAAACTAATCTTTAACTCTATTGATAAGAAAAAAAATCTAAATAATGCTTCTTAATAAATTCAGAGAGTTTGTCATTATTTGAATTCTGATCATGAAGCTAGCCTACATATGGTATGCTGTTTTATTATTTTACAAGTGATTATATGAGTAAAATTTGTTGTTATGCCTAAACTGACCCATAGCTTACACTCCAGTGAGTTTTCAGAGGCAGTAAATTACACAGAAGGAGACTGCCCAACTTTGTCCCGTGGAGCGGCTGATGGATTTGAACAGTACCTTTCTGTTGTCAGCCCAGCTCCTCGCCACCATTTTCTGTGTTAAATAGTTGACAACATTTGGAGAAACTCACAATCTTGACAACATATATATTTTTTTAAACCACCAATGAAATAAAGGTTATAGGACACCAAGAATCCTAGCAATCATAACACAGAGCTATTTTGCTATCCCTTTATTTTCTATGCAAAACATAATTTCTGAGAATTAAATTCCACCCCCTGCTTGTGTAATCAAATGTGTCTTATATCTGAATAGGACTTAACTTTACCCCAATTCAGAGGAGAGAGTTTTAGCCATAACCAAGGGATCTGCTTACAAATAACTGGGGCTGTGGCTTCTTAGGTACTTTTGGGAGAAAGACCATGCCCTCATTTAGGTGAATCTGAACGTCTGGTTCCTTCTTTTTTGTTTATACCCACTTTAAGGAACAAGTTGACACAAGTATTGGGTTAAGATTTATTTGTTATGGTTGATCTTTCTAAGATATGTGTTCACCTTGGTAAGATTTGTTATAGTAAAAAGTGACAACAATTATAGTTTACTTTCAACTTCTGACCAACAACTATCATTGATTTGATTCCAACTCATACAACCATCTATCGTGTCTCTGATGCTGCAGATCTTAACAGAAGAAGACTACTTGGTAGATTCAAACTACTGCCCTTTCAGTTGGCAGCCAATGCAACCACAGCTTTTTTCTAATCAGTTTTGTTGTAAGCTGATGTTGAGTCAACTTCAACTCATACTAACCCATGTACAACAGATTTAAAACCTCTGATCAAGATAAAACTTCTGATAGTGATGGGAGAGGACAAGAACATTAAATGAATGATGAAGATTGGGGGATTAAGGCATTTCAGGCTTATGAAAGGGATAATGACCAAAATCCTTTGACAGTAGGATATATTCTCACCCTTCCCAATATTTTACCTTTTTTTTAAAAAAAGGAAAGTTAAAAACTAAGAGGAACTACTATTTTGTGTTAAATATGTACCAGCTGCTTATATGTTATAAAATTGTGTGCTCATGTCTTTCTCATTGCCACCAAGTTAGAACTAGCTGATTCATAGCGGAACACCTCCCCAGTTACTTTTAAAGACTTATTATTATTTCACACATTTAGTTGATAAAAACTAAGCCCCATAGGTTGTTGTTGTTGTTGTTGTTATGTGCTGTCGAGTTGCCTGCAACTCATGGCAACCCTATGTACAACTGCATTAAACTCTGCACTGTCCTGTGCCAATCTCACTATCTCTGACATACCTACCCCAGTCACTGAATCAATCCAGCTCATAGAGGGTCTTTCTCTCCTGCATTGTCCCTCCACTCTCCCAAACATGGCATCCTCCTCCAAG